GATTTTGTTTGTGCTTACTGACTCTGGTATCTTAGCAATCAAATTCAAACACAAATATAATTGTGTGATAGACACAAATCTAAAACAAGTATTTTATGGCCTACAAATCGGTGAAAGGAAATTCAGTACCTCTTTACAGGCATATTACCTGAGTTTCCAGTGAATCCTTTTTATGAGGCCATGTTTGAATTAAATAAAACAACTGAGAATATAATTTATAGCATGTGAAACCACTTCCCTTTGTGGCGAGTACTTTAAGCAACAACTATATTAGAAATAATGTGTAGTGTCACTGTGTCATCAGACTGAAGAACACCAGAGCAAAGTGCCTTTATTGTAGGACAGTTTGTTGGCCAGAATCAATTATTATGACTGTATTGATTTTTAGCTAACTGCCTATGAAATTCAAAATATTACAACTTTAATTGATATTGAATTGCATTGAATTGATTGATTTCCATGTCTGGTTTAAGTAAGTACTTACTGAGTGCTCAAATCTCTAGTAGTGTTCACAGCTGGGAGTGGGAGAAGGAGAGCAGAAGAGATTTGTATACAGTTGCCAGGCAGGATTGAACTCAGGAAGGAGAGATGGTGTGGATAGGGAAGGTCAGATGTTGTCTCTTTTATGTGCATGTTCAGGGTAAAAGTAGATGTGATGAGGAAACAGGAACGTGGATATTTCTTGGAGGCAGGTCTGCGTGGCAGGGGAGCTCTTGTAGTAATGTATTGTCCATTGGAGTGGGATTGCTGCCTCTGTAAGGAATGGCAGTATGGCTCCACACAGTCTGACCCATCCACTCCTTAGGTTAATCTTTGATTTTACTATTAGAGGCATGACAACCGAGTGTGGTATTTTGGAGGGGAGTTTATTTAACATAGTCTGATGCATTTGCACACTGAGTGTTCAGGATCACTTCATTGTCTTTGCTCGTATTCCTCCTCCCATATTCATCTGGATATGAGAACTTCCAGTCACAGGAGTATATTCCAGGTCTGTAGTTCTGATGCTTACCTTAAGTATTTACCATTCCAAAATAGCTTGACTCGTTAGTGCCACCTATGGGTCTGCCTGGTCTGTTGTTACTTTGCTGTCCTGCGGTTGCCTTGCTTCCCTGCTTCTGAGTGGGTATGGTGTGGGTATGTAGTTGGCATTTCAGTACAGCCGTGCTGTGCAAACGAATCCTAAAYCTTTTGCCAAGGAGAGTTTGAATTCTTTCTACACTGATATCCATTTAGAACTTACATGTATGACTAAATCAATAATTAACTAATGACAATTTGAAGAGCGAAACCAACCTGTAGGTTGTTATTGAAAATGCATTACTGGATCAGAGCTCCAGAGCATGTAAAGTATTTGCTGAGSTGTGAGTCTGATTTATTGATTTGTTTTCTTCCTTATGTTTTGCTGGTTCCATAATTCTGTTAAATAGATAAGCACAAATAATATATTTGTACCATTAAGAATCAGAGGCTTGATGTACTGTATCAGATTATCAAAGCAGATATTTTGATCCCTAGTTTGAGATAGCTGCTGCTTTAAAGACAGGCTGTGCTCATCCGTAAAAGTTTTCTTCTGACCTCTATGCAATTATTGTATTCTGCGAACCATGCAGTATAAGCATCAATGCTGTTAATAGCCATAAATAATTCCTCTTTCTAAAAATTTCTGTCTGATCCATGTTGTTGACTTGCAGATGAAGTTGCTAAGTATCTCCCTAATGAAATTAACTATTACAGTYACGACCAGAAACGAAGGAAATGGAAAGCTAAAACAGCATGAAGAATTAACAATCATAGCAACTGACTGAGACATGGTGCTGCATRAAATAAAATAAAGATCTGCATTCCCTAGTGGCTGATCATGAAAGCTTTAGCTCTTGACAAAAATAAATAATTACTAGGTGAGCTGTACAAATAGTACCAAAGAGGGAGTGAGGGAACATACAAGGTAACATATATGGAGTTATTTTAAAGCAAGTTGTTTGATGTCTTTTGTGAGGTCTATGTCAGTATAGATGGTGAATAAAACTTATTTCTCTTTAGATTGAGAGGTAAAGTAGCAGAGGGTGTATATAATTATAATCAAGCCAGGAAAACTGGGGACTGATGGGATTTTCATATTTAAGCTGGAGAGTGCTAAGGTACTTAAATGTGGAGATAACTTAAGTGCCTACTGAAAGATGGCATTTTGGTATCATTAGACTAATTGGTTACTTTAATAGCCAGGATATTGCCTAAGAACCATTATAGTGCATTTGATAAAACCAAATTCTTTTAATATTTATTTTTTGTAATAACATAGTTTGTAATAGAAATGTGGAGTGGAATTTGGGCAGTCTAAACCAGATTACAGTTTGATCATAGTTGTAAAATGTGGCCTGGAATGAGGYAGAGATTTTTCATTCAGCTAAATTCCTATGAGCCTCTGCAGCAGGGGTTCAAAGATGCCCAGGGAGTTTTCTTACTGCTTGTGTGTGAAATGGGGCACTCCAGTGGTGGTGATGGGGCCRGGGCTGGCTCTGGGTGTTGGGGTACCTCTGTAAACTTCTACCAGAGGATGCTGTGCTGGCAGAAGGGCTGATCCTAAAGCCCGAGGATCTTGGCTGTGTGGTGGAAAGTGGTTCTTGATGTATTTACAGGAATGCAAAGGCCTGTCTGTGAGAGCTCGAACTACACTGAGTTCAGAGAATATGCCTCGATACAACAAAGCCTGATTTTAAGTGCACTCCCTATTAAGATTTTTTTTTTAATTATTGTTTCAGCTATCTAAAAATAATCAGAATGAAGGAGTACTGGGTTACTTAATAGAATCCAGAAGTTGCTGGTAAACTTTGCTAATGTAGGACCAATGCTGTATATTAGCTCACATTGAATTCAGCAATGTATTTTAGCCATACATTAAGGGAAGTGTAATTCTGAAAAAGCTATGATGCTGCAGCATAATTTCTTACAACATTTCAACTTTCAAATTAATTTTGAAATGAAACTAAGAATAAAATCTGAATTTCTTACAGTAAATAGTTATAATTTGAAATCTAATTTCTTTTGATTGAGCCACAAGACAAAACCTGTTATTCACAGTTCTGTTGAGAGTAGTAGGATTTACCATAGCAGTTTAGAGAAATGCAAAATAAAAAATCCATTTTGCCTGTTCAGATGGCTTTCACTGAGTSTAAAATATAAGACTGAGAAAGTAATGCCATCTTCTGCCTGTAAAAATGGAAAGTTGGCAGGGGTCAGACTGAGTGCCTACTGGGTGGTTACAGGAGAGATGAGTGGATCCTTAAGCCAGAGTAGAAGGAGAAAGTATATGAAATTATACAAATGGAGATTGTGTCACTGAGAGTTTTTGCTAATGGAAGGATGTGGTACCACTCAGATCTGCCCTCTGCTGACAGAAGTGTTTAGTGTGTACGTGTGCTGGTTTATAGTTCTTTATAAAGAACTTATCTTTATGACCTGACTGCCTAGTCATGAGGAAGGTCAAAGCAGATTTTATCTCAGGCACCAATGTGATTTCCCTCACTGGAGTACATCGAGGAGACTCTGAAGATCTGACCTAAGTCCGTTATCTGCCTCTCCTTATTTTGCAGTTTGCTTTGTGGAAGTGAAGAAATAGGATCAAATTTAATGTTGCAAATATGATTTTCTATTTTTTTTTCTTATTGTTTGTTTGTTCCCTTAACACCATGACATCAACATTATTTTTCTTTCTTTGGTTTATGCTGGCAGTTTCATCACTGTGTGGTGAGGCACCAGGAGCAGAAACCAATCAGATGATGACATCAAGGCCATGTTAGTTGTCTGWACCCAAAAGAGACAAAACTAGACAGCACTCTTGAGAGCCAGAGGGTTGTCCTTTCTTGTGATAGTTTGAATTAGCTGTAGTGTATCAGGGACACCTGAATAAGAAGCTTGTCTGGTTTTTAGGTGCAACAGGTCACTGTTAATGGGAGACATCAGTGATTCCAATTTACTGGTACTGGCCTGTAAAATAACACCTTGTTCCAAGTGGGCTGTTATAAATTGTGCTTGATGTTAGCTGAATGTAGAAAATGGGAAGGAGCAGGATCGTTCTAGCAGCAATGAAGGAAAAATGGTACGAAATACTAAATAACTATTATTATAAGATACTTCATAAATCCAAGGGAAGTAGAGGTGGAAAAGGCCTGTGGGGTCACCTAACCTGTTCATTCTAAGGGACTGGCTTATTGTCTGCAATATATAATGGTCTGCTATTCCAGACTAGCTCTAAATGCCCCAATAGACTTGTTTTCTATTTCTTAAACTTTTCCTCACTTTTCTATTTCTGAAACCCTTCCTCAGATTAACATGTTCCTCTTTTTATTTTTTAATTTTATTTTAAATTTTGTTTTACTGCTTTGATGTCAAATGCCCTGAAGAGTGTTAACTGTGTTAACTCTTTGTCTTTGTGTGGATCACAGATGCTGCTTTGATTAACAGTTTTCTTTTTGAATCTTTCTCTGTTTTTAATTTTTTTTTTCTGTCTCTCCTGTGGCAGCTGGAGAGCTATTTCACTGGCTAGCCACCCCAGACCAGCAGGGTGTGCAGTGAGAATTTATAYTCTCTCCTTGTGCCCTCTCTTTCGTATTTCTCTTTATGCCCCTTCACCACACTTTTGCACATCCTCATTGGGTAAATATCCCTTTAGGAGAGAGCAATATCATTATTCCCAAGGAGAGCTGAAAGGCAGTAAAGATTTGCCTCAAAGAAAGGTAGTATGAGCAATGAAACCTTTGTTGGAGGTATTGTGTGTCTTTAGGCATTCTGGTGTGAGCAGTACCAAAAAAGTGATTCTTGTCTTGTGTTTGACTGTCATGAGCTTAAATGTRCACCCTGAAAAACAAGTACCTGCTCAAAGAGGGAACGTATAATGGTCTGCCAATATCTGAAAAGAGAGTGTGGAGCAGTTATTTAGCCTCTCTRAGGGTTCTAACTGTTAATTCTTTGTTTGACTTACTCTGTAATTGCCTTTTCAGCCCGGTCAAGGAGTTTGGTGATGGGTGAACAAGTTGGGCCTCCTTCCAGATCATCTTCTCCAAATCCTCAAGAACGTGTCCTGAAGTGTGGCTGGCTAAAGAAACAAAGGAGCATTATGAAGAACTGGCAGCAGCGGTGGTTTGTGTTGCGTGGGGATCAGCTCTTCTATTATAAGGATGAAGAGGAAACTAAACCTCAGGTATGACTAGAGACCTGTAGGACTTAATGGTTGTGACTTCTGTGTGATCAGTCATGCTTTAGTTGACAGATCATGTCAGTTGTCTTCTATTCTCACCAAAGCCATACACACTTAAGGAGGTTCAAAGGTAAGAGATGTTGCAGGGAGGCTTCTCTACTACCAGGCAAGTGATAGATCTGGGGAAAAGGTTAGAGGGTGTTTACTTACCCACTAGGGCATGCCGACCTCTAGATCTTAGTATGGCCATCTATGAGACTGGAGTTTGACAGGAAGAGCTATGGAGTTCCAGATTACTGAGGCAGGAATGATTAACCTCAACTGAGGCTCATTATCTCCCCACTAATCCATTGTTAGCCATGAGGTGAACCAGCTGCTTAGAGCTGGCTTGTGTGTGTGGAGTGTGGAGGTTTTGTGGCATGCTGAGTACAGGCTGTAATATGTGTTTTAGTGTGGGGGGGAGGGAGTTGGTTAAAGCTTACAGAAGGCATGAGAAATTTCTAATTCRTGTTTTTCAAAAGGCTGTAAAATTCTCTTGCAGCATTTGAGCTGAGGTCTTTCCTTGTTGCTGTAGCAGATTATGCACCATAATTCACGTAGTCATTGTTTTGACTGTCAGGCCTTTAACCAGAGCCATTGAACGGAGGGAGCATAATTGAATGAGCCAGACGATGTCCCTGTACTGCTGGCTCCTGATGAGTCAGTACAGGCATTAGAGAGTGACAGTCAGCCTGTGCAGTATCATCATCATCCACATGGTCATTATAGATGATTATTAAACTGCTTGATACAGCTGCCTGCTTGACTGTCACACATAAATTTCATTGTAGTGTGAGAATGGAAATTAATATTCCCCCACGGACCTCACATAAATATGGTACATGAATGAGGATGTTGACTGCATCTARTATCTTGCACTCTCCTGATCAGGGATTTGGTCCATAATTATGGATAGTCTTCTGTGTAAAGTCTAAAGAGATTTGGTAATGTAACCTGATTACTCAGGATGCTGCCAGCAACAGCTGGATTTTGCACTTTCAAGCCAAGCACCTTATCTTCATATKCAATGTAAGTGGAGAGCTGGGCATTTCTGAACTGTGTCAGTGAACCTAATGGGAAGAAACTGCCTCAGGTAGTCATGTTGTAAAGGGCAGCTTTAACCCTGGTCCTTTTTGGGCACAGGGTTTGCCATACATTTATCGCTAAGGGAAGCCATATTGTATAGGATGGTACAGGACTATGTCCTGACTATTCCTGTAGGAGTTGCAAATTAGTATTTGCATCTGACTTCAGATAGGACTATATGCATCCCTCAGGTGAGATGTACTTTTGGAATGTGTAGGTGGCTGTTGCTTGGGGTTCTGTGGAATGAAGCAAAGGCAGAGTTGTGCCCATGCATCTTAGGAAGACTAAGACTCTTGGTTTTGGGGAGAACTTTGTTGTAGGACATGGAGATATTTTCAMTAGMTGATGTTGGTATTAATCCCTAATTTCCTTCAGCCCTAATGGTAGTCATGCTTAATTTAAATATTTTTATTTTATTTATTAAGTATGGCCYTTAAGCTTGCATGTAAAACTAAATCAATAGTTTCACCAAAAKTCCCATTGATCTTCTACCTACTTGATTATTTACACACACTCTGGAAGAGAGTTTTTATTTTTGTTGCTTACCTGATAAAATCAAATGAGATTTATGACATAATGTTTCAAAACTGAAACATGAAACAACATCTTTTTGTTTATGGATGTTGCATTGCCTGTTTTTATGAAAACCTACTCTTTCAGTTTCTTAGAGGAAACTGTAGATATTCTTTGTTTGCTAATATTGCTTAAAAGGTGAAGCTGTAATCTAATGGCAGGAGAATCACACAGGCTTTCTGTGGTGAAAAAGATTTATTTTCTGGTCTTAATGGATTGAGTAGTGTTGAAGGTGTGTATATGTGTGCCACATGACAGTTGCAATTGCACGACTCACTCCATCAGAGACCAAAGGTTAGAAGGTGGACTTGCAGACACTGCTTTTCTTCAATTTGCTCAAGTTATCCCCATGAGGACAGGGGAAGGGAGAACTGCCCTGCAGAGAGCTTTTGATGCTCCTACTGATTCTGTCAATATATGAGTGGGTTTCTAAAGTAGCTTTGGGCTCATTTCTATTCCCAGGAAAGGAGACAGCTAGCATACAACCCTCCCAAATTTTCAAGGGAACAGAAGGCACTCTACAACTAATTAATTAACCTTTCCTTTGGTATTGACTTGGCATGATAAAAGGCTTTAATGCATCTGCAGTGGGCTTGGGTTTTGTGCTTTAGAAAACAGCAGAATTKTCTAGAATGTGTTCTGACCACTGTACTCTAAAGATGAGGTTTTATACAATATTTTTCAATACCATTTGGAATAATTTCAGATGTATCTGCATTTTTGTCAATTTAGCRGGAGAACACTGGAAAGGCATCTTTGGAATGTCTTCAGTTTATCTTCTAATTTCASTGAACCTCAGAGTCAAATTGCAGGGCAACAGGGTTGGGAGAGAAGGGTGCTAAAGGTTTCTGCTATGGTGCTGACTTATTTTACCTCAATTTTAAATATTGCAACCATTCTAGAAAAAACACTTGGTATGTTCTTTGCTAAGTGCCCTCCCATACTGTGTCCTTCCACARTCTTACCCTTACACTGGTAGGTAACAGGAACTGAGCATTGACACTGTTGAACAAAGCATCTGTAGGAAGATACACTGACAAAGAGCAAAAGAATGGAACTTATACTGAATAAAGGCAATGAAAAGTAACACATATGGCTTCGTTATTTTATGGAGAAGATTGCAAAGGTCATACGATGAGTTGTGTTCAGTTAGTTGAAATTCTGGATTGTTTGTCTCATGAGACACTAATTGTATTACTCCATTATGTGTGGATCTGGAAGCTAACAAATAGCATAACCAGAATTTGTTTTGATTACCAATGATATTAAGGTCCAGTGTGTCTTGGATTTGGTTGTTTCCAGATTAGTAAACATGCATAGCTACATTCTCATCAACCAGAAATGTGTGGAAAAAACCTCACTGAAACACCTTTCTTCATTTTCTGTACAGCAAGAAAAGATGCTTTGGATCCAGTTTGAGTTCCAGAGCAGTTTGGTGCAGGAGTGAGAACTGCTCATTKCCCTCTTCATGGCTTAACTCTTGAGAGTCACAATTTGTACTGTATTTTGTCTGTCTGATTGTGAGTATGTCCTGAAGAATGTTAGCTGGAAACCCTTTAAAATATGAGATTAAATGACTGTTCCACTAACGTTACTGGACAGCAGCTTCCTGTGATGGCTTTTTTGGCTTTTCCATAGATTGAGAGGATTTTGTTCACTTTGAAGATGCTAGGTCACCAGCTATGCAGAAGTCCCAAACTGGAATACGTTGTATTAATTATGCCTGGGCTTAAGGTAGAAAGGAAGTGGAATACTGGCAGCATTTGAACTTGGGAAGTAAAGTGGCTCAGGTTTTATTTCAAGGGAAGCTATTGTCTTTTGGATTTAAAGGTAGTCCACTACCTTGCAAATCTGACTTAACTGCTCTTTTCCAGTATCTCCCTGGGAATTTCTGTGTACTGAGGGTCTCTGAAAAATAAGCCATTTTATTCAAAGGCATGCTGCAACCAGRAATCCAAGGGTGTAGGAAGAGCAGATGTAATATGAGATGAAGCTTTTGCAAGGGATAATTAATTACGGAAAACAAGGAAAATCACTTCTGTATGCTTATTGTTATTCCAGAGGAAAGAGACTTCGACCAGTGTCCAGTGTGAGAGAAAAGACAGTGGAGCAAGTGCATGACCAGTTCAAATCTTTTCTTGCTCAGAACTGTGGAAAGGTGATTGGCACAGTCAATGGGCAGGACTTGAATATGCTATATATTTTATCATCTTTTCCTCACCCTTTTAGTGGTCTTTCCCTTTTCACTAATATTTGTGTCCATTGCAGGGTTTGATACTACTGCAAGGCAGTCAGGTGAACGAGCTGCCACCTAATCCTGATGAACCAGGGAAACATCTCTTTGAAATTACCCCAGGTATGCCAGCATTTCTTTGTGCTTTCAGTATGACATCACCTCATTCCCATCAGTTGTCGTCAATAGTTCTTGACTTGTACTGATCACTCCTGAATGTTCTGATACACTGGCCAAATTATCTAGTGAGGCTGGGGAATGGGACTTAACTACATTATGTTATTTTTTTGGATAYAAGTGCTGCCTGGGTACTTCATTTTCATTTCTATGGTAGTTGAGATGTATCATGCTCCTTGATTTTTCTCTTTGGAGAGGGCTCCTTGCTTGGAGTGTTGTGTGGTCTCTCAAACTAATGTGTTTTTCTGGTTGTTGTGGGAGAAATGGGCACAGAAAGARGTGATTCAGAAGGGTAAAAAAAGTGATGCTATTGAGCATGATTGTGGATCTCAGGATATTTGGGTTCACATTGTTTTGAGGTTACATTTTTTTGTGTTCCCCAGAAAAATGACTCACTGCACCACTGACTTGTCTGCAAAATGAAGATATTTTCTCTAACTTATGCAGTTAAATCTATTTACATTTGTAGCAAACTTAGTTACTACATGGATAGTAAGTACTGAAAAACACTACAAATGGCCAGTCAATACAGAATGTGATTGACACAGACGTCACTGGAGAGTGTGGCCTGAAGAGCTCCCCAGTTTGTTCACAGTACATTTATTCTGTGCTGGTTTTCGCATAAATGCCTCCTCTTTTTTTTGCACGTATTCTGAAATGACCGTGTTCTGCGTGGTTGCCAGCCTGCAGAACACCCACGTAGTCAACAGCTCTGAAACAGAAGGCAGACAGGAAAGGGAGCACAAATGATACTGCAGGAYCCAGATCTTTATTTTACATCACTGCCCATCTTTTCCTGTGTTGGATGTGTGACCACTATCACATTTCTGCCTAATTGTGCTTCATTTATCCCACTGTAAGGTAGGACTCTACAGTTTCTGTAGAGATAATACTATTTTTTTTAAGTTATCTACTAAGTAGGGGATCTTGTGACTACAGATACATTCACATTACTAATGTACATTCACATTCCTGAAATGTACCTATAGCTGATACCAGCTTATCTGGCAAAGAGGAGAGGCTGAGGTCTGAGAAATGTCCAAAGAGTTCTAAAGTCTGTGGTACCAGTTATCTCCAAAATTCTGTTTTGTGATTAATAGCTAAGGTGCTCAGTGTTGTGGAACTGTTGCCAAGATCTTGCCACCTTTCTTCCCTCTGCTGCAAGCTGTGTTAAGCTTGGCTGTGGGAGCTGTTCCCTGAGTGCAGGGACTAGAGTAACAGCATGTCCTGTGCTGTAACAGAGCATGTATTGATTTTCTGCTGAGTAACAAGAACTAATGATGRGCATTGTGTATTATTCATGTTTCATCAAGTTCATTTCTAAGCTGTATAGAGCAGCTGGGAGAAGGGTTAACTAGGGACATGAGAGACTGCAGAACCGTTTACAGTCAAACCACTGTTAGATCTGGTGACAGGACTTCCTGAAATACTTCCTCTATATTCCTTTTTGGGGACTRTGTAAATTTCTGGATCCTTTTGAATCCATTCATGCTTCCCTTCATCATAGCTGGAAGTTCAGAGTGGAATGGTGGGGTAAGCTAGGGATGCAAGGTGCTCTCATGTTCCAGTGCACATTAGCAGGTGGTGGGGGATGAGGTCGGGTGCAGAAGTTGTACCATTTGGGATAATAATTCCCCAGCAGCTGGTATTTATGGATGGAAATGATCTGTGTTGCTTGGGAGAGGAGTTCAAATCTGGCAACAGTGCCTGCTGTTGCTAAGACAACAGAATAACTTAGTGTTGGCCTGGGGTCACAGTGCGTTTTGAAATGGTGTAATGGCTGTAAGAGCCACAGGGATTAAGCTCTGARAATGTTTTAAGGAATATTGATGACTTAAGTGCTCCTGAAATATCACCTTTTAGGAAACTGATTTAATGTCTTGGGGCAAGTGGTCTACCTGGTTTTATTCCCCAGACTTTGCAGCCCTATGTGATGCTCAAGGTCCTCTAGACAGAAAACTCCCTGATACAGTAACGTTTTTAGAAGGAAAGGAGGGAGTAAAAAGGTTCAGAAGTTAGGAGGTGCTCATGGTGCACATCTTGGTGTCTCCTTATCACCAATAATAGCTAATTTCAGTGCCACAATGGTTTCTGCCAAGGTGAACCATAACAGCTCTTATTCTGTGAGAATAAGAGTGCAGTTTTGTAGTAAGTTTAATTATTTCATTGGAAAGAGCTGCTGAAGGGGTTGATCTTGTTTCCATATATCTAATCATATCTTTCATTTCAGCTCTTATAACTGAAAAAAAGTTCTCAGATCAGTTGGACTTCAGGTCAGTCTAACTGAGGGGATGAAAACTCACCTTCAGGTTGCTTTTTGATCTCCAGTTGAGTTAGCACCAGCACTGTCTGTAGTGAGGCAGTTCAGTCCTCTTCATAGTTGTTACCTTGGTCTTCTTGCAGACTTAGCCAGAGCAAGGATGACTGCCTATACTTGATTCACATGTTGAAGGTTATTTTCAGTAACCTTTAGAAGTCGATTCTCTGTGGCATGCTCTTCCAGTTAATTAAAAAGACTTAGTTCAATATAGGCAACTTGCCCTTACAAAAGGGACTTGTATTTAATGCTGAATCCCTTAAAGATGGAGTAGTGGTTGCATTATGCCAGAAGTTAGGCTGGGGAAAAATTAATTCTTCATCCARGAACTTTGTGCAGGGCTTATGTAGAAGCTACTTCACTGCCTTGGCTGTACTGTACAATAAGAAGGAAAATCAAGAAAGCTAGAATCAGAATGTRGGAGCCCTAATTCTTACAGGGACAGTAATTGTTGTGTACTTGTTCTGTAGGGGTCCATTTGTGTTGTTGGCAGTATCTGAGAGAGAAGTTGGAGTGGCAGCTTGTTTGTCTYGTGCCAGTAGGTTGAATGATGCTTTCAAAGCAGTCTGCTCTGTGGTACACTTCTGTGTCCCAGGTGATCAACACCAATTAAGTTATTTTTGTGGCCTTTTTATCTCAGTTCCTGTTGAGATGGTGTGTAATTAAAATACCTGGAGGAGAAATCAGAAAGTTGTTCATTGAAAATCATTCCATGTTCTCTATTATTCAATGCAAATTGCGATTCTAATTAACAGCAGGATACTGAGTTTGGCATTGGTAATTAAGTTTCCTCCTGAAATCTACAGCTGAAAACTGACTGTGCATATCTGAATATGTGATGATGTTGGCATTTGAAACGTTTATTTAGATTTCTGTGATTTGGCACCCATCATGTTGACTAGGGAAATGGCAGCAAAATAAAGTAATTTTGGGTCCTACTAGGAAGTTTGAGACTGTGTAGTTGCAGCAGTGCACTGTGGAAACACTTAGCAAGAGAAAGCTGTGGATGTTATCATGTCCATGGCRTTGCACTGATCTTGGCAAGAAGATTGGTGGTTTTGGTTTTGCAGTGGAGGGCCCTGTCAGATCTTTGTTTAGTACTTCCAGGTATCTGGAGTAAAGCTGAGAGTRTGCAGTTACTTGTATGTCACTAAAAGGATAACTGTCTTTTGGAATGTGAGATAGATTTTTCCATTTATTAAGGGGTGAGAAATGACAAATGTATTTTTGAAACTGTCTTTCCACAGGAGCACCCTGAATGATAAAAGTGCATGCTTTCTTTACAGTCGCAGACTGGAAACTGTTTGTTATTATATTATAGCTTGAGTTGAAGATCTTTAAGGTAATAACGTTTTAGCACTAAGATCATGACAGGTACAACTGCTTGCCTTTTACCAGCTGCGGAATCTCTTTTTATGTCCGAGTGCAGTTTGAGTCTCCTTAGAAGTATGTCTCCTGAGCTTCTGTGCCTGCAAAATCTTGGTGTGTTCTTCTTTCTGTTCTGCTTGCTCCGTCTCTCTTGAGCACTAGATGGTGCTGCTTCTTTCCAGCTTCTGCTTGGACTCTTGCTGTCAGCGATGGCGCATGGCTTGAATCACTGGAGCCTGAGTTTGTCCGCTCAGAGGAAACCAGTTACTCTACTTCGTTCATTCGTGTTGCCTTAAAGCAAATAGGCAAGCAAGAGTTCCATAACAATGTTTTTGCCCAGCCTGTGAAGCCAATATTGTGCCCTGTAGACAGAATACAGTATTGAATGCATTTCTGCACATTTGCTCAGTTGGTTAGAGTGTACTGCTAATAATGCCAAGGTCGTGGATTTGATCCCTGTATGGGTCATTCACTTAGGAGTTGGACTTGATGCTTGATGATACCTTCCAACTCAGAGTATTCTGTGATTCTGCAATATTCTATATTGAACACATTCCATGTATTCACAATATATGGCTGCTGTCACAGGTGCCAAAATCAACAGTCTTTGAAGACATTCAAGTTCAAATTGTTGACCTATTTAAATCTTGTTTTAGTCTTAAAATTATTATATAAGAGTAAAATATGTTCTGTATAGTCACATGCAGTAGTGACTGTGTGGGGAGGCTGCTTGGATGTAGGTCTCCACTGTCTGAGGCTAACATACTGACCCAGGGCTTACGGGCTGTTTAGTGGCATCTGTCTGACTGATTTCCTCTTCTCCCATTCTGAGCCTGTTAAACTTGTTTTTTCAAAATGTATATCTTCAAAATTTTACTATTTTAATGATTTGGCATTTGCCAAATGGTACTAATTGCCTTTCTCAGAATTACTAATTTCCTAAATCTACTGAGATTTTTTTCAACTGAAAAAATAGCTTTGGTGGCCTGCTCAGACCTTGATAACTTACTTTAGTGTTAACAGAAGTATCAGTCAGCTGCCAGTATTTCTAGGCTTGTTTCACAAATGGATTCAATTTGATGAACTGTTAAGTAAGTTAATGGAAGCCCTCATTTCCGTTGTGGAGGTAGACACCAGCAGCTCAAATCTTCTGTAAGCAAGGCTTCTCTGCTTACTGATTTCCTGATCTGTACTTTCCCTGAATGCTTGACTGTACCATGTCACTGMAATCTTTTGAAGAGAACGTGAAATAAAGAGTTGA